CCCACTCTGCTCTATTGAAAGGTCAACAACCCTTTAGAACTAACTTGGTGCTCACATATCTATGAGCTGCTCATGCAATATCTGGACCCCAACTGTTGTTCTACACACTTATCTTCACAATATCCTATCAAGAAAGGGAAGTAGTATTCCTGTGAATGGAGTGGGAAGTGCATGAAGTGGATGAAAAACTTGCTGTGCTCCACAGCAGGGTTGGGAAGTGAAGCTGCTCTGGAGTTTTGGCCTTACATTTCCACCATCCACAACTGTAACTCAGCAGTATTAATGACAACTGTTTGAACTCAACTATAGACAACCAAGTCTTTAGTAGAGAAACACCACTGAAATTAGTTTAATGAACTGACCACTAAAAATTTGTAAATGTAATAGAGACTATGATTACTTTAAAAAAACCCACCATGATTCCCTTCTACAGAGATATGAAGGCGTGACAGCAAAACATGACAGATTCACAAGGCAGAAGATAACTTTGTCATATATCAACTTGATTCCCATTACAGAGAATGCTTGGCATATTCAAAGGATTTTTGCTTACCTTAAAAAAAAAACACTCCACAATTTAGATGTGAATAATCTAAGTAAACAGGACTAAACAATTCTTTTTCATCCGTTCTCCACTCTAAGTTACATTATGTTGAAATATGGTATATTTTTATCTTTCTATTCTACCAATAAATTGATTTGCACAGAAATGTTAATATCAACAAACGGGTGCATCTACATAAAATAAATAAAATATCCCTTGAAATACATACAGGGTTGAATTGTGGAGCTTTTGGCACTACAGATCCAGGCCTACTGACATTACTTTCTTGGACAGTGAGCATCAGCCCTGTGAGCCTCCAGTTGCCCAGAAGAGCAGCAGCCCCACACCCACACCTTGACTGTCCCTCCTTGCAGGGAGGCAGAATGCACTGTCAGATCTGTTGGGCTTCCACCCAGCTAGCAAAGGAGATAAAAATGAGTATGGGAGTTGGTTCCCTTTTCATATTCAAATACTCTCACAATTAGCTGCAAGCTTAAAAAGCTTCATATAAAGTTAGAAATAGTGTATTTTATCTAGTTTCTAAGATTTTCAGTTCTTCTTGTGTGGTACTCTGCAAATAAAATGAGATTGTAAGGAAGTCTGTAAAACTAACTCCATGCACTCAAGTCCTACTTTAATTCACAGCTTAAACCGCAGAGGGCAGCAAACAAAAAGAAACTGAGTGCTAAAGTCTGCAAATTCCCTGCTGCCTGGCGGTTCTGGAAAGGACTCTGCATTCCCTGTTCTAGTCGGATCAATACACAGGCAATTGATTTTGCTTGGCTTTTGGATTCAGTTTTGCTGACGGATCTTTTTCTATTATCTCCCCTTCTAAGAGACTTGAATCCCTTTGCCTTAAAAACTGCACTTGGCTTAGTCTCACAAAGTATCTCCCAAACTACTGGAATAAGAGGCAAAAGCAATAAGGAAAATCCGTTTTTATGACTTGTCAGTCAAACCAAGTCATGTTCCTACACTCTTCCTTCATCTAGTCATTTAGTAATATTTTGATTACTTGTTGAAAATGTACTACTAAAGACCACCAAGTAACTTCACTCCTTTTGCATCAGATGGTCAATACAACAGTATACTCAAGTATAGAAGAACACGGTCCTGGAAAAAAATTACATCTGTAGTGTTACACGTAGCTTTGCTTGTGCTTGATTTGATACACACAAATAGACATTCACAGGTAACAACCAAAAGTGTGCATTTAAACTTGTGAATTAAATGGTTCTCATATGCATGGTCAAATCAGTATTGCATTTTCAAGTTCAGACACCATACTGAAGTGTACTTAGAATAATGGACTAAGATGCCCATTGTAAATTTGGTTTTGTTGTTTTATTACCTCCAAAGGGTTTGCTTTTGCCTTTTTTTTTTTTTTGACTACTTTTAAAGAGCTGTGGTAGCTAGCTCCAAGTCTACCACCAGATTGACTTAGTCTCTCCATATTTTTATGAGAAGAAATACTTTTTTAATGACATATTAAAACATACAAAGCAGAATATTCTGACAACCAGCAGCTTCAGACCTCAAAAGCAATCAAACTTGCATATTATAAAGAAAATTTCAAATTTTTCAGTACTGGAAAAACCAAACCAAACTAAAACCCAAAGAAGTACATCATGGAGCGAGCTTAGTCTATTTTTTGGTCTTTGACAAAACATTATTTTTTTAAAAATTTATTCTGATCATGAATTCCTCAGTAGAAAATCTGTATACTGAACAAGCATTAAAAAATCTGGGACTAAAATTTAACCTCTCAGTTTAATCTGACTAGCACATGTGTACTTTTATGCTTAGACTGAAATACCTTATGAAAACAGAGGCAACTATTGCTTGTACCAGTTTTATGAAGTCTTTCTTTACAACAACCCTATGATTCTTCCTTACATGCTCTACTGTAGAAATAGAGAAATGTACATGTATGAAGGAATTGCTTCTCAGATACAAGGTAGAAACCAATAAATAATAAAATTCAACTTTATGTTCATCCATGGTTTGGATGACATTGGAGAAAAAGAACATTTAATTGAATTGCAGACATTGGAGATTGAAATACACATCAAAAAAGTTATGTGCCACCTTACCAGTGTTATAATATTAGAAGAAATAGTAATGTTTTCTGGGCTTATTGAAATAGGAAAAAAAAAGAGTTTCATCATCATGTCTTGTAAGACTATTTAATGCCTTAATATCACTTACTTTTAGCTGTAATCTCAAAAGACTGATCCCAAGCCTCTACTTTTTGTTGATGTTTTATACTCTTACATACACAAGAATAAAAGTTCAAATTATAGAAGAAAACACATTAATTTCCTGTTTCATGGCAGAAGGTTGCTACATGGTACAACAGTTTGAAACTATACTCATCCTTTTTTATCCATTACAAATTTAAGCAGTTATCTGTAATCAATCTATCCATTTAATGTTTATTACTAGGTCAATTTTTTAGATTTATTTTTTCTCACATTCTTTTGATCAATGAAGATCTGCTGAATAATATTTCCCACTAGATTTCCCATTGAATCTCAAGTTCTTATATTCTTTCTAATCTCCACAGTAATCACAACTGATTCCAATCTAGTACCTACATCAAGAAAGGGAATGCTGATCTTTCAAACCTCAGCTTCCTCTTTATTATAAGGTAGCTGTAAATATTTTATATTTCAGTAGATTATTTTGCCATCAAAACTACAGTCTTGTGGATGGTGGCAATTAACTTATTTCAGAAAAAAAACCCTTAGGATTTGGAGTGTTATAAAAGCTCCCTTTGACTTTTTGTTTTTGACAAAACTAATAAAGGATGAATTTTCAGTTCAGATACTATAAATGTCCTTCTTGTGCAATACTAATGATCTGTATTTATTTGACATTCCATGTTTTTATTAATACTTTCAGTATCAGAAGAACAAATTTTTAGACATCAGAAATCAAATCTTTTGAGATTATCAAGATGGAAGACTTAAGCAATACTGACATAGTTGAGAATTTGGAGTTTTCATCTGAATTTGGAACCAATGCACTGTTTTCAGATGTTAGCTTTTCCTACACACACAGAAAAAACTTCTGACCTGCTCTGCTGATCATCCAGTAAGCTGTTAGTTTTGCTTTCTATATCCCGTTCAACAAACACAAGGGAAGCAAGTGCTTTAGTGAAACCAAGTATTTTGTTTTTGTAACATGGTCCAAAAAAAGTATTTAAGTACATAAAGCTAAAGAGTGTCTTTATCAACAGTGGAAATTCCATATTGATAAAACTGCCTGATAAAATGCCTTTTAAATAAAATTGTTCGTTAAGTTCATCTGCGCAACAGATATTAAAACCTGTTTAATTATATTGATTCATTAGAAGTTCCTACAGAAATGCCACTTTCCTCTTTGAAAAATGCATCAGTTCTTCAAGAACTTTATTGTACAGAAAAACAGTTTGGTGTTTTCTAGTTAACAAAAATCAGAATACTGCAAAGACCACAAAGACAAAGGAAACGGTGCTTGGTTTAGGTGTTTCAAACTGTTGACATACTACATATTCTGAAATTCAGTTATTTCTTTAATTTATTTTAAATTGGCCAAATAAATTCAGTGAACAAGCATGTAATACCAAAGCAAAGAATAATGCAGTTCGGATTACAAAAACCCCTTCTTTAAAACTGGACTCTCTCAACCACTTCAACCTCAAAGTAAAAGACCAAGAAAAGAAAATATAAGATAGAATAAGGGTAAATTGGAAGGGCTGGGTGAATGTATCTTTCAGCAAATGAAAACCTCCATTGTCATTTTGCAAGCATTAAGCATAGCTTTATCAGACATGCCTGTGAAAAATTCTGCAATTGCAATCATTATTCAGAAAGCGGGAATAAAGGCTTCTAATTATATGGTAATGTACACTCAGTAATCACAGAGTAATTGAGGTTGGAAAGGACCTCCAGAGGTCATCTAACCCAACCTGCTGTCAAAAGTAGGTCTAATCAGATCAGGTTGCTCAGGGCTATGTTCAGGTGAGCCCTCTCTGGGCAACCTTGACCAGTATTTGACCAAAATCTCCTTAGGTATACAATTAGACATATCCTGAAAATTTGAATACTTTTTTTTAATGCATTAATTAATCAGTAATATGTGCGGATAATACTACTGAAAATAAGTGCTGGAGATGCATACCAATTAGAAAAAGCAGTTTTCATTAACTCACAGCTCTGCTCATCATCCATGTGGTTTGCACAGTGGTGGTTTGATTTGTTGTAAACACCCGAAGATGTAAGTTTAGCAACTAAGCCAAACCCACATTTTCAACACAACCATCAGATAACAGCAAAGATAAATTGCTGCAAAATTGTATTTGAAAAAGAACCTTCAATATTCCTCTAAGTAGTTATTGTTAGTAGTAAATAATAAAAAGATAACCTCTCACCAAATCTCTTACTGTATTACCCATTTCATTTATGTGTCTTACCGGTCTTTCATGTTCAAGGATTGACGACTTTCCTGGCTCATATTCAAAAATACTTCTTGGTTCAGACCGGAACTTGCGAGTATCTACCTTTCTGTCGGGAGGATCCCAGTCATTTCTAAACAACAAACACAAGTAATTGAGTTAATTTACTGTCATCACCATCTACTTTACAAGTTTGTGCAACAGACACATGCAAAGCCAAATGAGGTTCAGAATGGTTACTCTTTCCAGGTTTCACTTGTGATACTAGCCTAGTATCCCAATCATCTTAACTTGTTTACAGCAGGTACACTCAGTACAGGAGGAAAAATACTAGAGATGCCTGGCCTGTGTGGTCACTCATACTTTTGTTATAACTAGTAGATCGCTTTAAAAACTTTGCTGACATACTATGACAAAATATCACAGCATTGCATACCATTGCAAATAACTATACTTGTTTTGTGCACTATATTAATATAGGCAAATGGTGGATATTTTTGGCATCACACAATATAATAATTCCATACTGAAAAAATTATAAAATTTTCTGATACAAAAATGAGGATTTACTTAAAAAGACAGTGTGAAAATCTATTAGATGCTCATTATCCTGATCTGTAGTAGAACTCCTCCTGAATATCCTTGCAAGCAGTATACTATTTCCCTAGAAACTTGAACAGATTAGCAAGAGGAAGAATTTGGCAGTTGACTTTGGAACAGAAATGTATCCATTTTCTCTATAATTACAAATTTGCTTTAAATTTAATAGTGCTAGGCAAAGAATAAAAAGTAACCCATGGTACGATATTTTTTCAATCATTTACTGTCTTATATTACTAGCTACTTATACATTTTTGGGGAATAGTTAGCTAATTGCAGTGACAGCTACCTTTTCACAGCAGTTTTTATGGTACCTACCTACACTGTATTTGGAAAACTGTAGCTCACATGTATTTTTATTTAGCTCTGGGTAAAATGACCCACTAGTAACAAAGGATGGAGCAAAAGGAAGGGGAAAAATTACCAGCTATTTTCTGTATTTACTGTAAAGAGAGCACACACTGATTAAATTTTATCACTTCTACTGTCCTTTCTGATGTGACTTGGTTTGATGTGACCTGACATAGCATGACCTGCCTTAAAAAAATCTTTTGTTTATAGCAAACACGCAAGTGCAATTTCTGCGACACTGACATCTCTATTTATAAAGCACCCCACATTTCAAGGGAAGTAGTTCTACATGGCTCTATTGTTTATATCCACTGAGGAAAAAATTACTTTCAGAGCAGAAAAGGTATTTTTTGAGAATGAACAGGAAAATGGAAATGTTCTGATCAAGCTGTATTATACTGCAAGTCACTGAAGATAAAAGGATGCTACTGGAATTCTGATTCAAACTCAGTTCACCTAATTTACAGTGTTCAGCCTGTAATCCCAAATGGACTATATTTTTAAGCCCAAATGTTAATGCAAAACATATCTTTGCTCTCAGCCATACATATGTGATATATATGGACCTAAACCTCTTATGTGAGATTTTAAATACTCAGGCTTTATAGGCAATTAAAAAAAAAATCTACCATTGGCAGGAGAAGATTGACAAGCTCTAGCTTTCGGCAGTGGGCAAAGCATAACTAACGTGCTTGGCATCCTCTGGCCTGGAGAACACAGATTTCCACTGCCTGTCTTATCATGCAGGGAAAGGCTACGGGAAGGCTAAACAGCAAAATTCAGTGCTGAGCAGTTATTTTCAATCTTGACAAAAGGAACTGCAACAGGCCTCAGTTTCTGTGACCAAGGCATTTGGCCCAGCACAGGGCAATGACTCACAAAACTTCTGAGTTCAAAGTTAAGCAGATCCACATTTTGCTGACTTGCTAAAAAATCTGCACTTCTCTTACGAACTGCTAACAAAATTCAAACCTTTGGGAGGCAGTTCAACCCTAACCTTTAGCATTTCCTCTTGACAATCTGCCCTTGGCAATAGGGTAGCCGAAATCAGTGACCACCAAGCAATCTCATCTTTCTCTGGAATATGTCTCTCTGCTGAATTACATTTTGAATTGCCACTACCTACAAAGTTTTCAAAAAGTCATAGTTATGGTCTTAATTTTAAACACCTAGTATGGTCTTTCCTCTTTATTCAAATTACTTAGTATTTGAAGCTGCTTAATATAATTAAATTTCTACATATAAATACATTTATAATGTTTGAGCTGACAAAAATGGGCAAATTCTGTTTTGTTGCTTGAGTAAACAAGACAGGTGGGCTTGTAGGCACAAATTAAAGAAAAAAATTGACCCTTTTAATATATGTAATATATATATACACACACATGTACACACACATAAACGAATAATAACAATATTGTATTAACATTCAGTATTAATGAATGTAAACACTAAAGAAAAAGGTTTTTGCTTGAGCTAGTATCCAGAGATATGCTGAAATCTACAGAGTTTGTGTGCGGGTCACTTGCATGGTTTTATCAAAAGGATAAGCACTTATTTCCTGAATTATTAATTATTAACTTTTTCCAGATTGAACTCTAGCCACTGGGACCTGGTTTTCTGCAACACACTTGGAGCTGGAAAACCATGAGATACCTGAAATGCACTTTTAGTCTATCTACACTATCTTGGTCTACCAAAATGGAGGCAGAAAAAAATGGGGATATAAAGTACTTCTGAACTGTGAGGAAACGTGTTTACTGATACGATCTTACAGTTTTGCTCTTCCCTGACTTTCACTTTACATCATCTTTTTGATCCTTTGTTTTTGCTGCTGGATATGCTTTCCCACTCAGAGAGTAACTATTGAAGACAGCTGCTAGAGCATGGACTAAAACACAGCAAGCAACAAGCAAGACAATCCCACTAATAAACGTAAAAATGTTAAATGCTTATGGTCATACCACTTGTAAGAACAAGCACTTCTTCAGCACACTGAAGAAATGACAGCACCGTGCATGATGCCCAGACTACTGGTGAAGATTACCCCTCATCACCTTAATGTCCCTTGAATAAAGCCCTTGAAGTCATATTATTCTACAGCTGCTATTTTATCCTTTGTTACATTCTGTAACTGGAATACCATACATACTAAGAACACATTTTGAAAATGTGCCAGCTTACTTTTCTGGTGTAGACCTTTGCCTCAGACGATGCGGTGGTACTGGAGGTGGCACATGTGGGGGTGGTAAAGGGGACGAGACCTTGAAGGCATCGGAGCCACTGTCAGAAGCACTTTTAGACAAGGGTCTGTACGTCTGTGTCTTTGCAGCTGGGTGTGCCTGAGCAGAGAAGGATGGACTGTAGCTACCTGATATAAAACAAAGCCAGAATAGTCATAGCATGAGAGTGTGTTCTAAAAAACCACAACACAGAATGTGTTATAAGAACCCAGAGTAACTCAATAAAGCTGCAAGGTTACAAATATGTGTAAATGCACCTTTAAAAGTACATTGTTGTGTACTACGTAGCTCATTAGAAAACTCTGTACGTATTTCTATATAAAACTACAAATACACAGATAAAGTGCAGTACAGTTAAAATAAATCCATTATTAATTTGACTGGGGGAGAAGTTAATGGGTGTATATATGCATCCATCCATCCACAACTGTTAAGGACAGCCTGTAATTAATCCCCAGGCTCATCCTGTCAGGAAGAGAAGAGGCAGGAAACACACCTTTTTTTCATTGTTTTAATAATTAGTCAGTCTGGGACAATGAGGCAATAGCATATCTTGAGGAACACAGGAGTACAAAGAGATGTCAAATCACTGACTCACAACAAATGCTCTCAACAGCACAGAAAAAGGCATTATAGAGAGCATGTCAAACGCAACAAAAACTGAAATGGAAAATTTTGAATGGCGTTTTTGCAGAAGGCACTATGGCTTTTTTGCACATAATCTATTCATGCTTTCAATTTTATTTTTGTAAATAATTTTACCATATGGTTATAATCCTCTGAAAGACACAATTATTTTATATCTCAGATGAATGTCTTTTCTTGAAGCTAAATAACATCAATGCCAGTGCCTATGGTCAAAATCATAAAACAGAATCAGTTTTTATTAGGCACTTACTGCATATTTTTAAGGTGCTTTCATTATGTTCTTTTTATCCTTTCATGTCAGTAATTAGCATTTGCATTGTCACACAGTAGTTCCCTTTCCATTTTCATAAGGAAAGGCTGTGTTACAATCACTAGTGAAAATAAATGCAATGTAATCAAGAAACTACAGTATTACAATGTTTTCCATCTGCAGTGAGAAGCCCACAGCTGCAATTCATTTCTGTGGTAAGAATGAAACTAAACTTGCTTCATTTGTGGGGAAAAAGGCATGAACAACTGAGATCAAACAAGACAATAAAATGCGTTTCTATAAGCATTATAAAAGCAAGCATGAAGAGTTATCTACCCCATTGCTTGCCAACATTAACAAAAGACTAATTTTGAATAGGGAATAATTCCTACCAGTACCGTATGCATATGCAGTGTTATAAAAGTCTGCGTCGTCATCTACAAAAAGAAATACATATGTTACAGTAGTGCCATACGCGCCAGTTTATCCCAAAAATGCAGCTTTGTTTTTGCAGATACAGACAGAAGATCAGTAGGCAATCAAGCACTGTATTTCTTTTCCTCATCTCATAGGTGTTTTCGGAAGACTCTCTCTTCCCATTATACTTACCATAGGCTGTTTTTACCATCTTATTCCTAAAAGGGCATCTTCTGGTCATGTTACCCACATTGCATAATTACTAAGTTAAAATCAAATTGCAAATTACAGATTTTTGTTTGTTCTTTTCCCTTCCCCAAGCCAAATTTCTTCCTTTTCTCAGCTGTCCTCTGCTGGAGATTGTTAATTGTTTTTCCTATCACAAAAAGCAACCCCAAATACCTACTATGTGACTAGTGTTCAAATTAGGTCTTGTAAGCCAACATCTTCCTGCCTACATTTCTTATTCTCCCACTAACAGTCTGTGTAACCATACTGAATGTCAGTTCTACCTCAGACAAATGAGCTCTTCTTCCTTCTGGAGGTGTAATAAGCATAGTTGGCTTTTATACAGTTTCTTGGCATCCTTGGTGACAATCATGATAAAGGACATTAAAGATACCAATGTCACCAAAGTTCCATTTCAGCAAAACCAAGTAAGATATTCTAGGAAAGCAATTCAATTCAAGCCCATAATTTATCCTCAAACCATCTTGTGCTGTTCTAGCACTGGAATTCTCCAAAAGGAGATTTACAATGGCCAACCTCTGATTCCTCAAACTGGACATGAGGATCACTTCACTGAGCTCGCCAGTGAGACCATAATCATGCTGGTTGCATACCAATTAGAAATTGTCAGCCTACACCAGAGGAAAAAAGCTCTCTCCACAGTAAAAACTATCACTGAATTTATGAATTAGATTTAATTCATTACCTGACACTTGGTGAACTCTCATATTTTCACATAGCAGACAATCAAAATGCAGAAAAATGCATGTTTTAATATGAATGAAGAACCACCCAGACAAAACAAAAACATACTCACCAGGTTTATGAACCATATGGATTTGCTTAAACATGGTCTTGTACCAATCCTTTGGCCTGTCAACGGTCTAAAGAAAATACAGTTTTAATGATTACCAACAAAATCAAAATACCTGTGTGTACAGATATGAGCAGACATTTAATGCTATTCTGGATAGAAAGTCTATTATATTCTTTCCCTATTTATTATAATCATTTTCATACCATGTATTTGAAATAGTGTATTTATGCTTTTCATCTAGGAATTCCTGTAACAAATTCTGGAAGACACTGAAGACTGAGTCAGTCTTGGACTCTGACCTTGGGAGGGTACAATGGTTAGGAACATAGGAATTAACATCAACAATCTTAGTGTGCTACATGTGACAATGATGAATGCTAGATTCTTTACAGGAAAGTAAAAACACCTCAGCAATTATGAGATGAATAATTATGAGCCCTTCTTACAAGCATGTAAGAAGGGCTGCTTTTGAACTCCTGGCAATTTTCAGCTTAATTCATCTTCAAAATCTAATTGTTAAATAATGCAGAAAAACTCTGGAATACTACTGAGAAAAGAATTAGGATCACAATTTATTTAAGAGTTAATGCTTGGATTACAAACAAAGAGTATTCCTTTTATCAGTTTTATATGCCCTTTCCAGACAACCTAATTTCAACTTATTTTTCTGTTTCAATAATCACTCATTAAATGATACTTATCCTTACTTTTGCAAACTACATAATTCCAAAGTTTCCAAACTCTGATCATATCAACACCCGCTTGTGCTTCTTTTCATCTCTTACTCTTCCACATTTTCTCTTTTGCTGCCATTTTCTTTGAGGTAGGATGATAATATTTCAGAAAAGAATTAACTCAAAGGCAAATATGTTTTCAGTATTTTTTTCCTTAGGTCCTTAAATTTTACTTGCCCTCAGTAGTCAGAAAAGCAAAAGTTTTAATGCAGAGAATGACAGAATGCTTTAGGTTGGACAGGACCTTAAAGGTCATCTAGTTCCAACCAGCCTGCCATGGGCAGGGAAACCTTTCACTAGACCAGGTTGCTCAGAGCTCCAGCCAGCCTGGCCTTGAACATCTCCAGGGATGAGGCATCCACAACTTCTCTGGGCAACAAAAAACCCTCAACCCTCCCCCCTAAAAAGAGTACAAAATTATCTTCAAACCTCATGGTCCAGAGGGATAATTCCAAAGACCCTCTTGAAGTGCATTATCTTGCAGAAGCTAACACTAAATCTGCAATCACTTTGCTCTCTCCTCTTTACCTTGAAAAATGAAAATCTACAAATTCTTTCCTACAGAATACTGGACAGATCTGAGAGTCACCTGGCTCCATGTCATCTTTACTAAATCACACTTTTACCCTAAATACTTGTTACAGTTACTATACCTAGCGCATCTGTTTTGTTAACAATGGTGAGCTATTACTATAAGAGATTAGGCAGAAATACTCCCATACTTTCAGGACTCGATATGAGTTCTCATAAAACTGCTATTAAATGACATTTAAAAAATGTTTAAAAGAAGAGCTGATAGCCAATTGAATTCAGCACTTGGAAATCTGCTGGGTAAGAAAAAAAATTAAGCAGGGGATTATGCTTTTTATCTAGACTTGAAAGATAGAGATAAAGGAGATACAGTTTTGTCTCAAGATAGGTTCTTTCCTCACCAATATTGCTAAGTTCTGCCAAGAGTAAGATACTCAGAAGTGGATTTGGACCATTTTAACATTATTTCCCCAAAGTGGAATTCTGGTAAGAGTAATTTAGCTGGATTTGAAACAAGTATGCTGTTTGCTGCTCCAGGATCACATATGCTCACAAGTTTATAAGGAAGTCCAGGAGGTCTGAAGGAATTCACACTGATGGGCATAACCTCCAGGTTACTCGTCATTTCCCACAGCAACAGAAACCTGCAACAGTCCCATGATATTGCAACTGCCTTTCTGATTGTATGGGGCCAAGAAGAGTCTTCCAATCAGTGGAAGGTGAATAGATTGCAAGTAGTGCATAAATATGACTACTATGCCCCTATTGTTTTCAAGTGACAAAGGTGCATCGACATCTCTTTGCTGGATCCTTGTCATATCCTCCACAAATATAAAGGAGGCTCCCACATAGCGATCAGGTATGGATAAGGTTCCACGTGACCAGAGAAGAAGGTCTCCCCACGTCTTTCTGGACATTTGAATATTTCTTTCTCTCATTCTCTCCCCTCCATCCCCCTCCTTGGGGTTTCAAGCCTCAGCCAATAATTTGTCTTTAAATTATAAGGCAGATAGGATTACTTAAGAAATACAATACATTAATTTTGAAGTACATTTTCTCAATTTATATTCATTAATCCACACACCAACATTGTTTCTGAAATTAACAGTATTCACAATGCACCAAACCATTCAGATGCCATCCTGCTTTGCATACATTACAGCTGATGCAGTTAAAATATTGGAACATGGTACCATCATATGTGAAAAAACAATCAGCCAAATAGCAGGAAGAAGAGATAAGGAGTAACTGCAGTTGGTTCTTAGGAGAGTCTGTAATTATTGTAGTATTGTAATTATCCATCAGGAAATATGCAATTAAAGGAGGCATTTATGACTTTCAGTGGAACTTTGGTTTTTTGTTTGCCTTTTTTTTTTCAAGCTGAAATACTACATGTCTAAGTATGGAAAAGAAACCTTATAGGACTTTCTTCTTTTTTTTATTTTCTTAATAAATAGAGGCCTTTTCAGTCTATAGATTAATTTTGATAGTTCACAGAATCACAGAATGACAGAATATGTTGACCTGGAAGGGACCCACAAGGCAATCATTTTGGATAAACTAAAACAGCATAGACATACTGCTTTCCTTGAATCTGGTTTTTCCTTAACCTAGGACCCTATTGGTGGTAAACTCTGGTGGTGTTTAAGGTCTTAAAGAGCACAGCTGCCTGTCTCAAACACTGTCAAGGCCACAGAAGAAACCTGCCATAAGATAAGCCACCACAGTGGGAACTTGAGATAAACACAGAAAGGAGGAACTTACAACAGGAAGGTGCTAATTCCAGGCCTGGCAGAGGTAAGATCTGGTTAGCACATCCTGGTTAACCCATCAGGACAAAAATTGCCACTGTGGAAAACTGTGGGAAAGGGAGCAACCACAAGTTATGGGAATAGCATGTGTGACCACCCTGTGGATACCTGGAACCTGGACTGTATAAAGGTGGTACCCCCAGAGGAATAACTCTGGGACCCCCACCACCAAGAAGCCCAGAGTGAAGAAGGACCAACGGGATGCCGCTGAATCCACAGGTGGATCTCTCTCTATTCTTCCCTCCCCGCTCCTGCTCTTTCTATTTCCTTCTATCTCTCTACCTCACGTTTACTGTTACATATAATCCATATTACTGATTTCAGTGTATGGTCTTGTTTGCACCTTAATTCATGCAGAGGTATCTCTCACTAATCGGATCATAACATGATGTCATTTGACTGAACGCTTTTCTGAGTGAACAGCATCTTACCCTCTCTTTTCTGAAGACTTAATTTTTAATTTTACCTTCTCTGGGGCAGGGCTTGGCACAGCAGCAGAACTTAACAATGATCTGAATTTTCAGATTTGCACTTCCCAGACCTGGCAGGAGCTGAAGTGGTATAGAAGGAACATGCTAACATGGGATGAGCATTCTGAGAGGACAGAAAGCTTTATAGGAGTTATTTCTCTCACAGCAGCTTTGGACTTAGTGGGTTTGCAGGAACAGGAAAAAAGAATGAGAAAAGAGAAAAGAATAGAAAAGAATAGAAAAAGAAGGCAGCTATCAGTAAAACAAGAGGGCAGGGTCTCAAGCTCTGCCAGGGACGGTTTAGGTTAGATGTTAGGAAAAAATTCTTCACAGAGAGGGTAAATCAGGCATTGGAATGGGCTGCCCAGGGAGGTGATGGAATCTCTGTCCCTGGAGGTATTTAAGAAGAGACTGGATGTGGCACTTAGTGCCATGGTCTAGTAACTGTGGTGGTAGTGGATCAAGGGTCAGACTCGATGATCTCAGAGGTCCTTTCCAGTCCATCTGATTCTATGAAGATAAGAGAGAAAAAAGAGAAAAAAGAGAAAAGAAGAGAAGAGAAGAGAAGAGAAGAGAAGAGAAGAGAAGAGAAGAGAAGAGAAGAGAAGAGAAGAGAAGAGAAGAGAAGAGAAGAGAAGAGAAGAGAAGAGAAGAGAAGAGAAGAGAAGAGAAGAGAAGAGAAGAGAAGAGAAGAGGAGATAAAAAAGAAGAGAAAAGAAAAGAAAAGAAAAGAAAAGAAAAGAAAAGAAAAGAAAAGAAAAGAAAAGAAAAGAAGAGAAAAGAAGAGAAAAGAAGAGAAAAGAAAAGAAAAGAAAAGAAAAGAAAAGAAAAGAAAAGAAAAGAAAAGAAAAGAAAAGAGAAAAGAAAAGAAAAGAAAGAAAGAAAAGGAAAGAAAAGGAAAGAAAAGAAAAGAAAAGAAAAGAAAAGAAAAGGAAAGAAAAGGAAAGAAAAGGAAAGAAAAGGAAAGAAAAGAAAGAAAAGGAAAGAAAAGGAAAGAAAAGGAAAGAAAAGGAAAGAGAAGGAAAGAAAAGAAAGAAAAGGAAAGAAAGAAAGAAAAGGAAGAAAGGAAGAAAGGAAGAAAAGAAAAGAAAAGAAGAAAAGGAGGATATCACTCTGCTTTTCTTGGCTAAACAGCTGTCATGAACTATGTTCTGAGAGTAGAGACAGACTTATAGGAGATAACCACGGCTTGAAAAACTTCTCTGCTTCTGAAAAGCCATCACAATCTGGAATATAGATTCTCTTGAGTTCTCATTTACGTGCTTAACTTTGAGCAGCATAGCATTTTGGAACACACTGTGTATGTTACCTATCACCATGAATCTGCATTTACTGCCTTTTTTGATACACTGTTGCCATGTTCGCAAAGATCAAAGAATAAGAAGCTTTTAAACTGCATGAAATGATAAATTCAACTGATTTGAAAACTTATTTCTCTCTCCAGATGGAATGAGGCTAAACTTTCTGGGAGAAGAGTCCTATTTGGACTACTCACTGACCTTGGAAAAAGAGAGGGTGATTTATCCTACCTTCTCCTATTCATGGAAAATGCAGTTTTAGCATTTTGCAAGGTACAGCATATTTGAGTCTTTTGCTGACAGCTATACCAACTGTATTCTTGCACGATTGGGGTACACAGGACTCACATACACTTGTGCACATTTAAAAAGTAATCTCAAAATCAGTATCTTTAAAACAATTGTACTACCAGCTAAGTCTTAAGGAAGTAGAACAAGGACACAAAATGGCATATCAGACACACTGACACACACACACATGCTAGCATAATCTTTTAACTTATATCTCACTGTGAGAATTATTTCTATAACACTGAGATTACAGGCTACAAGATATTTTGAAACTGAAATAAAAAACCAACAAATTCAGTGAAAAAATGTCGTCATTCAAATCGCATTATGTTTCCAGGAGAAAATCTGAGAGACTCATATCATACAACCTGAAAGTTAAATATAGGTTGTAGATTGCCAACTCGGTTAGGCACACTTCAGGGGGATTTCTGTTATAATTTCACATAACCGATATGCGCTCTATTAGAAAAAATTACTATTTAAAAAGTACAAAACCAATTACTATATCCATTATAAATCATAGGGACTATTTGCTTAAAAAGGGGGCAGGAAGCTAGAGCATTGTTGCAAAGAAATGTCTTCATTTTTAGAAGATTCTGATCATATTACTTTTTAATGTCAAAAATAAAGCAAGAAATGCTAGAATTTCCCCCACATTTTTAAAAAATTGTCCCGATCTTACCACTTATTCTGATTTTTTTCTTATTGCTTTTCTCCATCAATTCCTGATTTTCCCCTAATTTTTCAATCCATTGAAGCAGTTCTTGGCAATACAACACAGCCCCATATGTCAGTATTGGCAGAAAGGACACATCCAACAGCTGCTACATCCTTGCACCTACAAACACTTCACCTGCAAGGGCTCTGCTGCTTTCATCCTGGCTCCCACTCTTCTTACTCTTTCTCCGTCTAGCACAGCAGTCCTTCTCTGGCTGGAAGGCCAGTAAGCACTTCCTTCACAGACTTAGTGCAGCTGCCACTGTGCTCTCTGGAGCAGCCAGAAGAGGCTGCCCTGACAGCAGAGTGGAAAGAATGCTTCAGCATAGTGAAAACAAAACTCTTCAGTTTGACATCCTGGGACCACTCAAGCAGTGACTAGCGGCAGATGATCAAAACTGGGCTAGTGACAATGAAAGGGCTTCCACGCTATTCGTTTATGTGTCACTCAAGGGCACAATGATTATTTATTGCACTCCCACGAAAATGCTACTCACTTAGATTACTTTCAGAACAAAACTGTTCCTTTCTATGCTACCCTGTTGACATGAGAACCACTGCCCAAGAAATGCAGAAGAATAATATTTTTATATAGACACACTCACACATACGAATATATGAATACTTGAATACACACGCACATACATACGTAAGTATGTATAAACTTTATTTTAGAACTAACAAACATGTAATTATTACGCATCTCCAAAAGGCAAGAACTATAACAGAAGCAAGAAAGACACAAAATTTTGGCTACTTCTAATTAAAACTAGAAACATGAGGTTGTCTAATTATGCTCCCATCAGCATTCTCCTTTTCCGTCAACACACAATATTATATTCATGAGCTCCCTGATTACGCACACTGTATTCCACATTATATAAGAGTAGAAGAATGTGAAAAACCCATTACCAACAATCAGTTCATTGTATGAGTTCATACACAGATTTCCCAGAATTTCCTACCGTTCTAATTGCTGTAGGGATTCCAGATTCATCTACCGGGCCAATCCCTGCATAATGTGGAGCTTTAATTACTGTAATTTTTTTTTCTTCTTCTGAGGTTCTACAGATTGGTATTGTACTGGTGGTGGTGCTGCTGCCAACATTCTGAACATGCTGTGAGTACGTCTCTGTGGACTCTGTAAAGATAACATGACAGAATATCATGTGATGACACAATAATCATATTTGGCAGTTAAAACACACTTCCCCATTTCAGTATGCTGTACAAAGACTGACAACCTTAACCCCATACATATACAATATTTTTAAAAGAAATATCATCTTAACTAGGGCTTTGCCCTACTTAATATTCCATTATTAGAATTATAAACTTCTTTAATGACCAGACAGGCTACTCAACTCAGATCTTGTTAGACTAGAAGTACTTTTTCACAACATCTTGCTCACAAAAAAGAGAATCCCCCCCACAAGTGCAGCAAAGTCTATTGAGAAAGGTGCAGCAACCTTTCTCTTATAAATCAAACTCTTGCACTTTCCTACTCATTCACTGGAAACTAGTGACATAATTTCAAAAGTTCCACTCCCTCAAGTTTAGCAAACTATAGAAAATAGCTGCCCTGCAAGCATATCAAACAGCCCTGCACAAAAAGTTATGTGATATGTGCTTAGAAACAAATTTATGTTGATATGTTTCTGTGCCTCTACATATAATCCATAAAAATGGACTTAAGTAACTTGGCACCTGTAGAGCAATATGATGATCCACCTACAGTGATTCAGGTGAACTGTGCAGGTTGCTACTGGTTTGTAGTGACTTGTAATATTTCTACCCTTCTCTGCTACTGGTTTGCAATGACTTGTAATATTTCTACCCTTCTGGTAGAAATATTGGTTTGTAGTAACTTGTAATATTTCTACCCTTCTCCTTCAAATCTACCCTTATAATAATGAAATTATTATACCACTATTACCATTTCCTTCTAAAATTCAGAGTAATTTATTTGACCAAAAAACACCTGGGATGTGACATGAAAATTTGTACTACTGCAGATTATGAACTTCTTTCCTGTATACAGGAAGAATAACCCTACTCTTCAGGCAGTAGATTTCAGTAAATTAGTGGGCTGCTGCGACAAAGCCTCTATTCTGCAAGAGCAGATACAGTGAGACATTTCCACTGCAGGATAAATGAATGCAGGCAGTAAAAATATACATTCTAACACCAGTATAACAATTACAATTGCCTTTCATGTGACATTAACATCCACTGATTATTCTAAAGGAAAATAAATGAATTGTAATATGAATCAACAAAAGGAGGTCTAGTGATTGAAAGCTCTAATTTTAAATAGAGTATTTCTGCTCACTCCCACTGCAGAGCTGGATTTGGCATGGTTGTTTCAGCTACTTACTCAAGTCTGAAATCCTGTAAATAATCCAGTGCTACACATATATGGCGAGGGGCAACTCCATGTGGCAAACGTCTAGATATTTGGAACTTTTTCCCAAAAAGCATGATGTTAAATTTAGAAAACATTTTGGATTTGATCCCTCATTCTTCATAGGTCTCAAACTGAGGCCATCAGGGGGATTTTTACATGAGTAAGGAGAATTAAATCAGGCTGTTATTGTGCAACGCTGAACTTCAGCATCATGTAAGAGTGAAAGTCATGGGAAAATACACATTTTATGTATATCCAACCATATTGACAAGGCCTTAGATTGTCAAACTGGGAGCAGTCAAAAAATCTAGAATTCTGGGGTTTGGAGAAACCCATGTATACAGGTTTTGTATTTATCACGACGATGATAGCAGCATTTTTCTAAGCTGTAAGTCCCAGAGTAAGAACTGTCACCTAATTTTCCTGCAAGCACAACAAAAAAGTAAACTCTAGGATTAAATTCAAATTATTTTGCATGTATAATCTTATCTCAATATGTAAACACTGGTAGAAAAAGCAACAAGCAAATGACTCTTATGGCAAAACTGGATTATACTGGTAAAGAGCCTTTAAGCCTTTCTAAGGCTGATAATGTTTGTTTTGAGTGTGGTTTTTTTTTTGTTTAGTTTGGTTTTTTTAAATTAACAACGTCCTAAAAAAATACATAAACAAATTTTAGATCAACGTGGCTTTAGGTATTCAAAAGCCCAGAGCCTCTCCCTTTGTTGGCAGTATTTCTACTGGAGATTATGGAAGTTGAGGGGAGGGCCAATGTACAAAGTTGGCCCCTGGCTTCTTAAGGCAAAATCTGAAGAGGCTGCATAGGCCGAGCTATTTTGACAGATTCCCTTTCCTCAGTAAAGCTAGCAGAAAGTTGGCAAGAGGTCACACTCACACACCTAATAGCAACTCCAGTTCAGGATCACCACTGTATCTAACAATAAATGCTGTTATCTTTTGCATTTACCTTCCAAGGTAGATGAATAGACAATACCTTCATTATGGATGTGAAGCACTCCGCAATTGTTTGCAGTCTTTGCCATATGAATTGGAATATGTTGTGTAATGTATAAAGCAAATATTCTCTGTGAGGCTTACCCATCATCCTGCCATGCTGCATGATAACAATGTTGGAATTGAGCGAAGCTGGTGGAGAGTAAGCTGAAGAAGGGGAAAAAGGCCTTTGAAAGTGACTCACTGGGCTGGCAGAAGTGCCAGAATTCCCATTCACTGTGATCTGAGCCTGAGAGAGACAAAATAATAACCCATTAAACTACACACAAAGCCCTCCGACTGCCATCCCAAAGAAAGAGTGATGCAAGACTGTCGTCCACGCAACAATTACCAGTTGTCAGGTACACAGCCATAATGGCATCTGCATTCACTGAAACATAAAACTTATCACAAAGGGAGCAGAATGTGTTCCTTATATACCTTGCACCATCCCTCTTCTCTCCTTGTATGTGCTGTCTGTGACACATGCTGTCATGGGAGGGTGACAGAGAGATCACGGTCAGGGCAATGGAGATGGCACAAACAAGGTTTGCAGAGGTCTGGGAGCAATATAAATGAAGATGACAGTGAAAGTTCCTCTCGTGCGAACAAAGGCTGTCTGCCACAGATCCTCACGCCAGGAGACATATTCCCTTAATGCGCATGCTCAAGCACTATTGATATTAATGGGAACTTCCGTGCAGACTGAAGGGGAAAGCCCCATTAGGACTAGCTAAAAAGAGTGAGAGAAAGCTTCTTTAAACAATGGAAGTCAGCTGGAGTGACTATGGGATGGTGATATGCAATCTATCACAATGAAAATAAATAACAACAATAAAAATTAAACAACCCACAACCACAAAACAACAGAAAAAAAATCAAGTACATAAAATGGGAAAGCTAGGCAAACTGGCAATAAAGCAGCAAGTTTTTTATAGACTGGAAAATTACTCCTATGAATTTCTGTAATAAAAATTTGAGATATTCCTGTGAAGGACTTTACCAAATAGCGCAGTTAGATAGTAAGGCTCCTACACTAAGTAATACACAATATCATGAAAACAGGATCCACAAAAGCAGTTGACGGACAATGGTCATAAATGTGGTATGTTCATATATAATATTTTTGGGTTTGCTTCTAAAGGCTTTAGAGAAGATCTCAGCTCAGCTATGACTTCATAGTTCCTAAGGACTTTCTGTTTGAGGAATATGTCTGTGAAGGTGGTTATTTCATTTGTTTGTTTGATGCATTTTGCACTGTTGATAAGGTTAGCTAGAAAAGACAGTTTTGCCAAGTTTCAAAGGCTTTTCCTTCTGTTGGAACCATTTGGGAGTTGCTGACATTTCAGTCTGAGAATGTGACACTTTAGTTCCAGGTGACAGAGTTTATTCCCAGATTTTGAAAGCAAGTGAAATCCTTTAAGATGCCTATTCATGAATTAGACCGTTTACTTTCCTAGGTAATCTTCCTTGTGGGAAAATAAGACAATACAGAAAAAAACCTACTTCACCAAAATGCACCTATTTTCCAATTTTCTGGGAAGATAATCCTAACTTTTCATGATGGTCCTTTCCCTATGCACCTTCATTAATTTTTTTCTCCAGTATACCTACCCTGTCCTTCACTGCTAGTAGAGAGCCACCTACTTCTGCTGCTAGATAATCAAGATCTTGTAAAGATTCCTCCAAGGTATCAGGTTTAAAATTCCTGTAGCCTGCCTGACCATCAGAAAGAGCGGCTTTCTGGATTTCTGAATTAGAACAGAGAAAAGCATCCGTCTGGGACTGCATCTGCTTTCCAGTTTTCCCTCTGCTGAGACAGGTAACAAGGAGAAAGAGGTCCCATTATGGATGTCTGAGCAGCTCTGTGCAAGAATGCTAAACAACACACCACTGAACTCAAGATATTGAATTAGGTTTAAATCCTCAGGATTATTTCTTGAAGATCAGAACAGTTACAGAACTTTGGAAGAGGCAAAAATCTAATGTGTACAAGTTTCCATTAGATTCCACAATTTCAAACTATATAAACAAAAAGAACCCATGAAAATTATAGGGAAAATGTCTGTAACTGGAATAGAATCAGAAAAAATAGTTTCCAAAACCAGCTGTTCACTCATTTTAACTTCTAAGAATAAGTCCAAATAAGAATTGCAATTCTTATACTTCAGGTTTTCAAAGAATCTGTAATCTGTGACTAAAGGTATGGCAAATTAACCACAGATTTATGTGTAGCTCTGCCTTTTGCTTGGAATATTTTGCAATTTTGTTGATTCAGCTCTTCCTGATACTGCTTATTCTTCTTAGAAGAATTGGTTTAAAACTTTTTTGCCTAAGCTCTCAATAAGAAACTCAAGAGTAGAGAAATATCCCCACTGTGGACAGAAAAGTCTTTGAAAGTCTTTGACAGAACTGTACTACCAGGTATGGTGCTGGATGGCTCAATCCTGTATTACTTTTATTGTTCTCTCAGTGGTTTTCATCTAAAAAATCAAAAACAATCTCCTTCGAGAATGAAGATCATTATAGGAGCACAATCACTACCAACATACATGTGTGTGCCACCAGTTTCCCATAATTTTGTCATTTCATAAATGCATTTATGGCCATCTGGCTCTCCTCTACAGAGGGTGGGAGATGAAGACTTTCTGTACTGCAGAATTGGGTCTTGCCAGCAGTTTAATTTCTGTGGAGTTCTTATGATGTAGGACTTTTAGGGATTTGGTGGGAGACTCATCCTTCCACTTTGTCCATTAGTGGTGAATAGCTGTTATGCTCATCCCTGCCATGTCTAAAAGAGAAAGTGGTGGTCAGATCTCACTCTTACATAGCCTTCTACAGGGAGAATACACAAAAAAGGAAAGGCGGCCCAACTGTTCACTTTAGCTTGCAAAAAATGGTGCTCAAAGAAAACAAATACAGTTAGCTATTTTAGAAGTAGGCTAGAAGAAAACATAAATGTTCCATGCTTCCCATAGCTCATAAATGGTCATGCAGTGACCGTGTCTGACCAGTCTGTACTAATAATGGTATCTTTGGTTACAACTACTGGGTTGTATGAAGAATCATAGCACTGATTCTTAAAAAAAAAAAAAAAAAGGTTTTAGAGCTAAGTTACAAGAGTTAGGAATTACAGTTTTTACATGCCTGCTATTAATATTGCTTTTTTAGCAGCATCCAGAGCACTGAGAACATATCATTGACTTTCCAGGTGACTACGTGAAAGGTTGGGCTCAAAATACTTTTTAGAAAATATACACGAAGCTTTAAAAATATATACACTCTTTGTTCTTTTCACACTTGAAAATTACAGTATGCTGAAGTATTTGGACAATGTTTGAACACTGGTGTGACCCAATAAAACTTTGGATTCAGAACATCTCTCTGTTTTGCAATTCAGCAACAAATTACTCAATTTAAATGAAGGCTTTGTTCTGACTCATTTTAATTGTGTGGATAATCTCAAAAGAAATCAGAAGTGATCTGGATTTGACCCAAATTCCATACCTTCTTTCTACCCATATATGAGTGTACTGAGATACAAAAAAGTGAATGTATATAAAGTGTCAAACTGCATAATGTTTTTTTTTACTTGACTTAACCAAGAGAAGAGTAAGAGCACAACTGGGTAATACAATATTATTTATGAAGTTCAGTCCTATAAGAAACTGTGCTTAGGAGAGGAAAAGGTTAGTCAGAGGAGAGAAAACCAGTCTCATGCAATCAGTGGTCACAGCTGGGGAAAAAAATGAGTTAAATGTTGCCAACATTTACTATGAATTTACAAATTACATTACTGAAATCTGTATCTCAGTATAAACCAAAAATGGTGGTAGCCCAGAGGCTACAAACTCCACAAACCTGCATATTGCTAACAGTATTTTAAATAAATCTCTTCAAATTCTACTTGCTTGCTTTTAATGCATTTGGAACAGGTACTTATTGAACTTATCTTCTTTTACTTTAAGCAATGTGTTTGATACACCTTAGCTGACCACACAAGTGTGTGACAACTTAATATCATTTCCTACTACCAAATCTGATATGCCAATGATTTTTTTTTAAACAACTGTTGCAAAACACTGTCAGACTGCATACATGGAAAACTACTAACAAAATACTTGTATGTGTAACAGGATAACAGGCAAGCTCAAATTCTGTTCCCCTTTGACAACCTGTTTGAACAAAATGGATGAGGAAAAAAAGAAGCATAATTACATGAGAAGTGGCAGCAGTGTTGGTTAAGGTGGTGCCATCTGACACAGCAGACATCTGGCTCAAGGTTGGGGAAGGTGTTTCAGAGCGGTCAGTAGTATCATAGCTACAAGTCTGCAGCTCATCTAGAATGGCTGTGGAGGACTCACTCACTGTGCGGGAGGAGCACTCACTCATGGCAGAATCTGTGCTTACAGAGGCTGTTTCGTTCCTGTGGATAATACTTTCAGAAGCTAGGTATGGGCATTTATATGAAAATTGTGAAAGGGCTGGGGTTTTATAAAAATGTGAAGGCAAAAAATCATCAAGCGTTGGCAAGGAATATGGTACTAGATGGGTGCCACTGTCTGGTGAGAAAGAGGCTCTGTTAACTGGTACCACAGGAGAAGGAAGAGGCAGTGGAGAAGCTTCTGTTGCTGTTTGTCTGTGTGTCTGTGAAGCATTTACCTCCATCACAGGGGCAGTTACTTTCTGGTTTCCAAGCTGAGATTTGAGGAAAAAAAATAAGAAAAGAAACAGATTACTAAATGAATAAAAACCTTTTCCCTTTGGCTCTTGCTGGGTGTAGGAGAATTACAAAACTGTAAGTTTTTCAGCCACCCGAGGAAGTTCACATTCACATGGATTAGGAAATAAATCAATCACGCTCTATATTAGACTAGGAAAACATAAAAGAAATGAATGCATAAAATAATAGTGGAAGCAATGCCAGAAACCATAGTGTGCTGAGAATGAATAACCATAATGTATTGCATATATTAATGATCTCCATCGTGTATTGAGAAGGTTCACACTATTTTATACTTACACAAATATGAAGCTAGAGAATGTCATGTCCATTTTGTTTTCAAAAGGAAAAATGTATCTATCTCAAAGTCTGATCTCTACAAATGTTACTCTGCTGGGTTTTTTTTGTCTAAGACAGGTATTTTGAAATTAACCATAATATAAAGATGAGCAGGACTGCAAGCTAAAAGAAACACTACTAATGAATGTTCATATGATCTGAAAGCAATAGATGGTGGAATTTTTTGCCTTTTGTGACTGAATACATCTTCTCCACTGCCTCTCTAATAAAAATATTTGGATGATTTTAGAATTTCCAAGCACCCTGGAAGCACCCTGTCAACCTAATCTATAAGGTGTATGCATAGGAGCCTTTTCAACATTAGAGAACACAAGGATTGTTAGGGTAACTGGTATATAAATCTGAGAAACAACACAGACTGGGAGCACAAGGACAGGGATGACTTAATACTGAAACAAAACATGCTAGTTGTTTTGATTCAGCATAGTTCCTTAAAAGTATAAGGGAACAGCCTCATGAGTGCTTCTGAAAGCTGCCACACAATGTATGAGTTTTCTGTTCTGTTATTTCAAATGAGCCACAGGGCACTGAGCTTAAACTAGTCCTGCAACTGGCTTTTTGCATCTGCAACTCCTTTTTGAATTAAAGATACATGAAAAGCATGTTGGCATCTAATATTTGTTAAACAGCTGCACAAATCCTTCTATTCTGCACTATTAACTACAAGCTTTCAATCAATTCCTGAATTATGTCAAAATACTGCCTACTTCAGCACTAATGGTTTCACTTTTGATAGGGCTGAGGAAGTCTGGAATAGCTGCTGCAAAAGAGTGTTTGGGATTTTAAATTTATGTAAAATAGAGGACAATAAGATACCATGTGTAGTAATTACTACTTAAAAAGCAACATTTAGTCATAGATATCACATTGTTACCAGTAATATAGTTATTTCCTATGCTTCCACTAGGCAGATGTCTTTAATCATTCAAAAAATGTTTCAAGCCATCAGATTAAAATGCCATTTTGGTATTTTAATCCAAAATCTGAAAATATCTTCTAAAGCCCTTATGGAAGACTTGGAACACGACCCAGATTATGCTACTTATGAGAGGTCACTGGGGGTCCAGTTGCATAATTCTTGCTGAGATCAACTAGAATTTACACAAATAACCCTGATGAGGTCAATAGGACCATCCCTATGAATAAGCATTTCAGAAAAGAATCTTAAGTATGTGAACAGATACCCGTCACTTGTTCCAATTGATTCAAAAGAAATCTTTGACATTAGTGGACCTCTAGGGTACACAAAAATAGCCAAAAGCTGCTGTTAAAATCAGCAGTTAAAACAGTGAAGAAACTTAGTCAAACAGCTTAAAATCCAAATCTTATTCACAGCAATATTGTAAATCTACAATTGAACAAACCCCCTCAAACTTAATCTTTTCATAGAGGAAACATGGACAGATTAATTCTTAATCAAAAATATGAATAATTGAGTGTATATCTATAAAAGGGCACAGAATTTTTAGAAAGGTCAAATTTGCCAATAGAAACATCAAAAGAACAATGGAATATTACTAAAATGAATTTCAAGGGAAATTAAGATGGCTAGACAGCCTAATCTTATCAGGGGTTTAAGATGTGTGCATTTAAGTAGACATATAAACGACAGTAATTTCACCTCACAGGTACATAAAGGGATGACAGAATCATAATTCCTGATTAATTTCATCATCTGTGTAATAATTCAAGGTCTACAGCAAAATACACTAACCAGGAGATCACACTGCAATTATGAGTCAGAGCCAGTGAGAAGCTTTGAAGTTCTTGAGACCAGATATCCTCTCAGCATTCCCAGAAGAAAAGTTATATATGACTGAGCCAAAATATGTGAATTCATCTCATATTGTTAAAATAACAGGAATTTCTGAAGAGTTGAGAAATCTTCTAAACATTCTGGCTTTGAACTGAGAAGACTGCTTGCACGCTTGAGAAAAGAAGGGATGGACAACACAAGAACAGATATTCAGGGTGCATCCAGAGAGCTAGTGAAATCGAGCCTTTAAAGAATTTAATTCATTGTGTTTGGCAAATAATAGCTGATTTCATCAAGCCAAATTCTTAAGAATAGTATAAAGTTATTATTCTTACAATATGGGTAGAAGGAATGCAGAAATTCTAGGTACTGATTCCCAGTATGAAGTTTCTCAGCTTTGTAGAGTAAAACTTCTATTCTGCCTGGTTATAGAATTCTGTCTAGGTATAACCATTACTCTGGGAAAAAGTGGCTTAAATTGTAATTTAAAACAGCATTGTTTTTGAAAACTGATTTACACCATTTAAAAAACATGCAGTCTTGGTCAATTGTAAACAGATATAACTGGCTACTACTAATTCATATTTTCCACTGCACATGAAATCTCATATATATCACAGTGAAAAAATATGAGAAGGACAATGCTGAACGCATTTCAGCAAACTTCTAATACTAGTTCCATTCAGCAAGCTTCAGATTAGGTTTGTTATTGATATAGCACAAGAAATGCTAGCAGCAGTCAGGCAGATTAAATGCCAGACAAGGACTTAATGAGATTGATGAAAAACTAGTTAGACTATGTAACTATCTTGGGTTGTGAAGCAACACTTGAGAAATAGATTAATGCCATTGGTCCTGAAGTGAATTGAAGCCCTCAAGTGTAACTTTCTGATGGTCCTTAGAAACACTTCCCTTCCTTCAAACAGTATAATGTTAGGCCTGAAGAACATAGCTGCTACCCAATTCACATGAAGCAGACAGGTGACCCTAGTATGGATTTCAAAACCAGTCATCTATCGTTTTAATGTAAGATCTGTGGGGAGGGGTGTGAGATTACTAATGACACCAAAGTACTGGCCTTGCTTCAACAGTCAAGACACAGATAAGGAGACTCAGAGATAAGTGAATAAACTCATTTTGTTAATACATAGCAGAGTTTAGTAGTCAACAATCAAATTACACCCATACATTTGCACAAATGGGTAAAAATACCTCCATTTTTTAATTGTTAAAAGCTGAGTTCAAATCTCCAAACTGACACTGCAAGTCATATTTCTATGCTCATTTTTATACCTAGCCCTCTTACTCAAAACTCACTCTATGGAGATGGAGTTCAGCCCTTGTCTAAAACCACAACAGTGATGCAGAACTTAAATTGAAAATTATGTGCTCAATTTTCTTTGCTTCACATTTGCCCCCAGTATTGAAACCTGTCTTCCCTATCTTCTATATCACTCTGTGTACTGTCAATACCTAATAAACAGTAATGTACTAAATAAAGTGATTCAGAATTTATTTTTTTTTATTCCAGGCTTATTTTCCTTGATCTCTTTTTCTACAGCTATAAGGCTAGCTAAAGAAACACTTTCATAAACATCTGCTATAGTAGTTTTTATACCTCTTGGACATCAGGACTAAAACAAGTGTTCACTCATCTGAGGAATTCAAATAACAGGGCAAATGTTTTGCATCCTCAGTTTTAGAGAGTGGTTATTTAGAACAATAGGAAATTTAGGAACAAAATAACATAAAAATACCAGGTAATTATTTCTGAAGATGCAGCTCAGAATTCTTCATTAGTCTAAAACTTCTTCTAAGAAACCTGGACAACAGAATTTATATCCATCATCTCATACTAACGAATACTAATTTCTCTGTTAAAATACATTCACTTATTTCTCCTGTATCTGCAGTGTCGTACAAAGCAGCAGCATCTCTTGAGACTGTAATAATGTAAAAAAACCCTAATATTGAGTAATTTGAATGCTTCTATTTTCATATATAATTTTAAGGAGTTTAACCTTTCTCTGAGTAGGAGTGTTTACAAAATGTCATTCAGTGAGTCATACCACACTTCTGCTTGCTCCTAAAGTTTCAAAAGTAAGCTCTGAAGTGCAAATAGGAGCACAAGATACATTAACTTGGACCATTCAAGCCCTCTCTTGGCTGTATATTTCCAAACTTTGTAACATAATAGAATTGTATATGTTCACTATACACAGACACCAACAGATGAACAGTATTTCTCATTTGCCATCTCTTAAGAAGCGATGATTAGCTGATCTTACCTCATTCTCCTCCACATACATAAACCCAGATGCAGAAGGAGAAGTGCAACTTTCTGAGTGCATTTGTTTTTTGAGAATTTCTGTGGTAACTTTGAACATTCCTGGTAGGCCTAATTTACACTCTGAGAGCATCCCTTGAGGATACTGCTTAATATAAAGCCTATGATCTACAAGTACAAAAGTATTTTAACTCATGTACCAAGTCCTGTAGAGTTTGCAAATCTAAAACAATCTTAAAAATGAAAGTACTATCATGCATAGTATACTGAAAGTTTTCTATGTGAGAGAAATTGTGAACTTGATACAATTATATATATATATATGAGATATATACCATGATATATAGCACTAAAGGGAATCATAATTTCTGGCATTAGTTAGAATAGTGTCAAGGTTTAAAACCAAGATCTGAGTCAGAAAATAAATATCTTTAAACATATAGCTTCAGCCTTTATTTCTAACTTTAGCTCATGGGGTCTTCCTTCTGGAACTTTACCTGACGCAAAATTTTACTCACCTCACATGCTGATTTGTACTCTAGTTTTAGATAGGTATTTTAATACAGAGTCAGCAAAACCTACAGGCTCCATGACTCAATAGTGATGCCAAATATATGTCTTGATTAGAATTATACCAAAGTTGAACATCATGGAGGATGTCAGCTGAGTTCTGTAGACAAGAGACCAATAAAGGAAAACAGCTTGAAAAGTTGGCTATATTTTTTAATGATCTTTGTGATAACTGAACCAAGTTGCCAAATTTCTCATAGTTCCTCCCACACACTAAAACCAAGAAGGCAGAAAAATAAGTGTAGAATTGCCAAATAAGCCACAGCTACTTTTCTGATTTTTTTTCAGCTCATACCAAATTCTAAATTAAAAAGAAACTGCAAAATATGTTTTGACTTTTAAAATCTTAAATAAAAGTAGGTAGAAGATAAATTATTTTTAGTCCGATTAGACTTTGAATATTTGAAATTACTCTTGTTTATAAAAACATATTTCTCCTAATCCTTGTTAGCTGTCATATAACTACTTTCTGTTTGAGAGATAATTTGATTTATCTGAGCATTTATAATGCATCATATTCTAACAGGCCGAACAACTATTTTTAAGTGAGAAGATAACATAGACACAGAAGTTGTACTGGCCCCACCTACACACCTACACCTCTTCTACTGTCCGTCAGTATTCCTTGATGCCAATATTTAAAAGGCTTGCAAGCCTGTTCTTTATAATCTTCATATCTACCCTATCTACTAGAAAAAGCTGTTGCTCTGCTTTCCTTGCTGTTTCTGACATGATTTGTTTACTGGGGCTCTTGCCTGAACTGACTTGTTCTATCTGACAAAAATCACTAAGTAGCAGACTGGTTCTTCTAAAGGGTAAAGCAACTTGTTTCTCTCAAAATGTTCTAAATTTTATGCAGCCTAAAAGAAGGGTTTAAGAGGATAGTTTTGTGTCTAGTCTTGAGAAAGACAAATGTGATTAATCCTTCTGTGCTCCTATTTTTTAATGGAGTGAATTCGAAAGGAGCATTGTGGATTGCTCCCGTATACTTTCACAGAGCTTTGTTATGATCAAAATATTTACTTGGGACTTGAAGGGGAAAACAGACGTATTATAACTTTAAAACTGTCCTATTGCTAATGCAGATACTCGTGGCTTCCAGAGTAGAGACCTGGTTGAATGCTGATGCTCTGAAAGAACAACTGGAACAACTGGAAAACAACTGGGAAAGCAGATGTGTTACTACTGTTGAGAAAAGGGCTGTCAATGGACTTTTTAGACTGCAAACTAGTGCCACACTTAATTCAGAGTAGCCTCACTGCTTCCAGCAGAACTAGATGAACACAAATATGCCATGACGGGATCCTCACTCAGACAAAACTTCGAGGCACATATGCTTAGATCTATAGCAATCTCGACCTCCAACTAAAGGACTTTCTAACATAGATAAGCTGGTATATTAGTAGATATACTAGAATAATTAACTTTTTAAATAGTAAAATCTTAATGTGACTAAGTAAAGCAAACTAGAAATGACAAATTTTATTCAGAGCTCTCCTTTCTCCTAGTATGTATTCGCTGCTGCTTTATTGGTCCCAGGCTTGCTTTATTTGACTCAGTGACTTTCTGAATGGTAATAAATGCTGCTCAGACTCCTCTGGTCCTATGCTGTGTGCTTGATACTCCCATTTCTCCTGTAAGGGATCAGTATAGCTAACAAAGACTTTTCATGTCAGTAGGCATAAGGGGAAACAGAGGGACTTAAAAGTTCAGTGCCCTGTGATGTTTCATATGGAGGTGGTTGACAAAAAGATTTTATCAACCCATTTTCTTCTAAGAGTGCTACTGCACAGGACACATAGCAGTGCCTAGCCTTGCAGAAAGGACCCACTAACACTGTGTATTCTTTGTGGGCCTAGCAGACTGGCAGAGCTGCATTTGTAGAACTCTGCCCCACAACCAACCTAATCCTTTCTATCCATACTTGATCCTTCCAGCATCTCTGGCAGCATAATGCTTTAATATGACCCTCTCTAGGAAGAGTCACTTATGCAGATGCATTGTCTACAATGCACTCATTTCCTGCAGTGCATTTGACCTCCATAAAGTACTCACAGAGGAACAAAGTCTGCCACCCAGCTCAGCTAGATAATTAATTTTTTAAAAATGATCTTCCAGAAACTTCAGGTTTTATTAATTTCTGTTTGGATCCACATGACAGGTAGTTTTACCCAGAAAACACAAGATCTAACTTTGATAATGTAAGTATAACTAAACAGATGGTTATTAAGTGATTCACGAAGATCTAAAATAAAAGATGGAAAAATTAAATATACCACATGGCATTCTGCAGCCTGTGAAGAAGGAAGAACTGCAGAGTTTTGTCCCAAATCCTTTGAAGACATCTTTGAAGTGTCTGGAGAAATACTAGGTGGATGTTCTTGGATTTCAGGCTCTGCTTTATTGTCAGGGGAGGGAGCTATCTGAACGGAAAGAGATGCTGTGTGTATCTCAGGCAGGGGGTTACAGGCAGGTGAGACAGGCCTTTGTGGAAATACTGGCTCTTCAACAGGCTTGAGCTGTTGCTGTGAATTACAATGAGTGCTACTTGCTGGGTCACGTGCCCGGGTTAATTTCAGGGTAGATACCTTCCGTTTCTGAGACTGTTGCCTCTGGCCTTGCTGGAGAGTAGTATTTATACCAGCTACTGTGTTTGTGCCTGCACCAGAGTTTGAGATCAGTGGTTTAATGATTTTTTGTGCATAGGACACACTTGTGTTAGCTATTTGAGATGACATTGTCTCCTGAACAGACTTCTCATCAGCGTAATAGGCAGTATCTGTGGGATAGTGTTTAGCTGGACCAGCTGTTACTGCCTGGAGATTAATTTCGTTCTTGTGATTAGCTACTCTTGCTTTTCTAGGGGGTGGCAGAGGTGCCTTAGTTGCCAAAAGCATCCACACACAGCAAAATAACATTGAAGAAGAAACAGAAAGAAAGTAAATGTTAGCAGGAGATACAACTCAGTTTGACTTTATCTTTAAATAAAGGAACTGGCAACTTAAAAGCCTTCATCCCAACACTGCTCAATTCAATGGACAATAAAATGGTCAGATTCCCACCACCTTTTCCTGTGCAGAACTGTATAGCTTCTATTTAGAAAACCAGATGTTCCATTTGTTCAGAGTAAACTGGGACCAGAAGTGAGCCCACAATCATCTATTTTCTTTTAAAAAACAATTCTTACACTGCAAAAGAATTATTACTGTGAAATTGTTTAGGTGTGTAAGTACTCCATGATATTATATTGCAAGTTATTATTCACAGGTAAGACACATATATAAAACACACAGAGCCTCTTAAACCTTTGAATTAAAGTAGTAACAGAGACAGTATTAAAATTGGTAAGCTGATATTTTTTTGACAGATAAATATGTTTCCAAGTGTGGTTTTTACTTAAGCATGCTCTAATTACATTCTTCTGCAAAACAGGCAGAAGCATTTTCTATCTTATAATTAATAAACCCTCATTCTCAGATATTTTGATGACTGGTGCATTTTTCCAAGTGTAAACTATTAATAAATATTCTTTGAAGTCTGGGAATACTCCTAGAAAGCTTTTACTTGTGTATGACCTACTTTTATTTAGACGTCTGTCTTGCTCATTGAAAGCAATTTCTGGTAATTAACCTGGAGGCACACAGCCTGTGTGGAGAATGCTTTATCTACGCAGTAAACCAGTTTGTAATGACCCATATCTGGAAGACTTCAGGACAATGTTCTGTAGAGGTATCCCATCTATATTTGCTGTCCCCCCAGAAAAACCCACACACAAATGGCATGAAATTCGATGTGTTCAGTTTTACCTGAGTTGGTGATTTTTTATCCTGTAGATTTGGCCGCACACTCCTAAAACCTTTTGCTGAAAGAGATGAACTGCTAGCGTCTCCATTCAGTGTCTCTCTACTTCCATTGTTGTAAGATCTCCAAGCTTTTGTAAAGAAAAAAGAATCAAACCATTTTTTGGTGTGTGATTAGTACATCTCCATATTGCTCTCAACACAGCAACTCAGCTACTAAACAAACTGTGGAAAACTTCTGCTACTGCACAACTGACATGGCTGCTGTTATTACCATGGACGACAAAATACAGAAAAGCTGCCAATCTACAAAATATTGATCTTTAAAATTTAGAAAATTCAAGCATTGAAAATTCTGCTGGTAATGGCAGTTTGAGATCTCCCCAGAACTTTCATAAGACTATGGATTTTAACCTTGGGAGTCCTTTTGAATGCTGGTGATTCAGCCCCTCTAAAAAGCAGGCTGAAATACTTTCATAGATTAGGTTTTCAAACTTCACAGCTGTGGTGGATTTTGAAAAATATCCCAGCTCATATAAAGGTAGTTGGTTATGGTAGTTTTACAAAATTTCACCACAATACCCAATTAGTTGTTCCCCTAATGCATCTTATTGCCAAATCCAAATGACACCTCAATTTTCCAACCAACCAACCAACCATGTTTTTTTCCCTATCCTCAGACCTGAGATGCCCTCAAGGCGTTGTCCAAACATAGAGGGAGATGCTGAAGATAAAATACTGTAAGAAGCTGAGAAAATTAACACATTATGTGAGCAGGCTGCTAAATGAGGTGGGCAGAACTTGCAATCTTGAGTAAGACACTAAAAAGGAAATAGCAAGTACCACTGAATGGTGCCACAGTGATACAGGTGGCAAATTAGCAGTCTGTTTTCTCCCACACAGTTCATTTTTCTGACTACATATTCTGTGTTATAGGAAATAACTGCTTTCAAATGAGACCTGAATTTGAAGTCTTAACCACTAGCAATTATGATTACAGTTTCCACAATGCTTTTATTAAAGAATGAGGAAGTAAGGAGTAATGAAATCAAATACATAGAAGATTGTTGTAATTGGTATTGCACTGATGCATAAATAACACAGTGTTTTATTTACCTGAATCTGGAGACTGAGAATCAGACCCTGAAAAAGAAATATCCAATACTAATTTGTGTTAGAAATAAATTAATTTTGCAAAACCACACAGCAGTTTTGTCTGTCTACTGAATATTCTGTATTTTTATTGTTTTGAATATTTTTAGGAAAACATCTTGATAAAGGATTTTGTTAAAGTTAATCTGGCTTCTGAAAATCATTTTACAACAACATTCAGATTCTTTTCCTTAGAGAAGTGTTTTAAAATCAAATTTCAATATACAACGTTAGTAATAAACAAAACCTCTTTTTCATGCTATATTATCTTGAATAAAAAACAAGTGACATGAGACCCACAATATGTATCAAGGGAAAACATTGATTTATAAATAACTGATTTTTCCTTAGTCTTCCTGGTTTATTTTTTTCATTAATGACTACTAAGCATAGAGAAATTAAGACCACGTTTTAAAGAGCACTGTAGAAGTAATAGATCTCTCAGTGGAACAGAAAATAGCGTTAACCCTTCTCCTCCTTGCAAAGTAATATGGCAGGAATGCATAACACTATTAAAAAAAGCCATTTAGAAGTAGTCTCTCACTGGTTAGTGGTTATACCTGAGGCCAATAGGTTTGGAGAACTCTGAACTCTCTTCACAGCTGTTAATGTGACAGACATTGCAGCGCGTTTGCGAGCACACCCACCGCTATCTGGAAGCACAAAACAATACAGACAGCAGCCCCAAACAAAGGGAGCAAGCACATGCAACAAATCACAGTGTGTGATATGCCAAACGTGTATGAAAATAAGCATGCAGTTAGGGAACTGCTGCAGAAATGTGTGAATTTGCAAGTTTGGCAGATTAGCAGAATACATAAAATTTCACAAGTTTTAAACAACAATAAACCTCACAGAAAATAAGCAAAGAAAGTAATATTTAATACTTAATCCACTAGGGCAATATATACATTCTGTTACCTGAAAGACTGCTTAAATACAGCTAATTAGAAAAACCAAAGTAATGAAGATAAAGGATTAAACATTCCGAGTAATATTAATCAATAATCTGCACTGCAAAATAATTTCATTGTATGCATTAGGAAGACATCATTCAAAAACTAAGCTCCTATTTGATAAACTGACAAAGTACTTTTGTTAAGTCTTCTGGATCCTTTATGCTCAAGAAACAAAATTACTAGGAAAGGCATAATTTTTCATTTTGGTGGAACATCCTTGTTCTCCCTTTGCCCCTTTTTTATCTAATGGAAGATTAAAAAAATATATCTCTGGAACTGAATAACATTCTGAGGGAATGACTAGAAATCTAAAATAATTTCAAACAATGAGGAATGGAAAAAAACCCTTTCTTCTCGATCTTGCATGTCTTTTTTTCTTTACTCTTCTCTCATTGGAGCTGTCATTGCATTTTAGAAATACTCTGTTATTAAAAGAAGGAAGACACCTTTCCCATGACTTAGCTTTTTAGCAACTCTATCATATTTGTATAAGCAAGTTAATAAATATTCTTCTAATTATATATTTTATTTAATTAGAATTTTTTTTGCTCTTCACTATAATAATTATTTTAATATTTGATGTTGCTGAAATTTCATAAGGTAAGGGGCTAAGGTAAGGGCTAAGGTAATCAAGAAATACAAGTATTATAAAGGCCTTTTTTATTTCTGTGACCTATGAAGGTTTATAAAATTATGCTTAAGGAAGACCTGCAACCTATTTCCTATGATAGCAGCACTGTGAGCCACAGAGTCATCTTTAACCCACATCTGCAAGAGGAGCAAGCTCCTGATATTCCTTTGCTCATTCCAATATTCCCCTGAAATAGCAGAACCCTCTGGCCACCACTCCTGCAGGATACACATTAAATACTTGTTAACATTGGCAAACATCAGAGCCACTGCCTCAGGTGTAAGCAGTACCAAAGACCCATTGCCAATTCCATGGCTCGAGGCAAAAGGCTAAAAGATTTCAGTCAGCAGTAGTTAAAAGCAGTACACTGCCTGCCATCAATTACTAACCTTGTGCAAGTGAAACAAAGGCAGTGGCTATCAAATCTTGCCCATTTGTTTTGGTTTGCTTACATAAATATAGAATGGCAGTGGGAATTAAAATCACATCTTCCATTCTTGTGTTCCCTCTCCCCCACCCTCTACATATACCAGAGGTAATTACAAGGAGATTTGATGATGTGTTGATACTGCAGTTCTGTTCTAACCTGAATATTGGTAGACTTTGATAGCATACTATACAAGCTAACAAGCAAACAGTTTTGTTATACTGTCACATCTTTTATTAAAACAAAGCAATACTTATTCGTAATTTTTCAAGAGCTACCTTCCTAAATTTCATGATAGAGAAAATGAAGGGGGAAGAAAGGAGCACAAGAAGAAAACTGACAATGAATATTTAATTACTGCAACTTCAGGAAATTCTGCTTCAGTTTAAATTTTAATGTAACTGAACTGACTCAGATTTTTATACTGATCAGATCCATAATCTAGCAAAGTGTTTGAAATGGCTTCATTCAAGTTAAATAAAACAGATGTTGTAACTTACTATATAGATATGTGCATACAATATTTACCCCTACATATAGAAGCCTATGTGCAAGTCTGTACCACCATTAATTATCAGTATCTGTACAAAATAATGAGAGCCAATTAGTACTCAATTTAGACATAACAGTACATTGATACCAGACTGAGTTGTGCAAAACATCTAGTAGAATATGAATGTGTGTGGCCAAGCACATATTTATGCATGATGGATTTCACACCTTCCCATCTTTGTTCAGGCTAGGCTCCCGTTAAGTCATTGTATCAGAACAAGAATCAGAAGAACCTGCAACGCTGCCTCAAAAGAGGCAGTTTACAAACTGCTTCCCTTATCTGCATGGCCTTACACAGTTAACTTCAAGAGGCTTATTCCAGCCTGTATTCCTTTTTCATAGTACATCAAATTGCCAGTAAATACTAGCTATATTCACCTGGATTCTTCAAGTCCAAATAACACCAAAAAGCCCTATATCTGGAGTAGAGAGTAATAAGAAACAGTAAGGAAGACTGATCTTCTGCTCATTTCACTTGCAAACTATAAGCAATTAATATTGCACAGCTGTTACTTAAGGAAAAAATGAGGATATGTGAGGCAATCTATATAAAATGTATGCATATATAAAAAAATATGTGGGTAAATACGTATACACACACTCACAATTCTATTCTGAAAAATTGTTCGGGAATGAGCCCCGTCTTACTAAATGTTGCTTTAACATTGAAGCAAAGGAGACCTGAACCAGCTAATGTCTGCAAGCAGTACTAGAATATGAAGTTGGGCAATAACTCACAATCAAAACAGCTGCCTAAAATGCAATTCCAGCTTCTTTTTCTCTCTCTCCCTTAATTCCGTTTCTTTTCACATTTAACCATTTTCCCCTGAATTCATAATTCCAGCAACTGCTCCCACTGCAGACAGCATCACCTTATGTGAGCTGTATCTCATTTTGACAAATAGTCTATTGGTTGGGTCCTGCTCCAAAGTAGGATGGAGCAAATTCAGAACACCACCACTTTCATTTAAAAACAAGGGGTGGGTTTCTTGAAAAGACTGTTTCAGAAAGTCAGTAAAAGCAGTGGCATAAACAAAGCTGGCAAAGATGAAAGGATGGTGACCTCGTGTGAAGAGGTGAAAGAGAGTAGCTGGGGCAGGAAATTTTTAATAAGCTCTTACAGTTCAAAGAAAAGAAAAAATGTCATCCAAACATAATGTTTGCTGATTGTTATTCTATTCACTGTACTTGGAATGATATCATCTTTCCCCTTCTCTACACAGTGTATTCCAGTTTAGAAGTCTTTAGACCAGCACTTCTTACTTCCTATTTGCATTTTGACCTGAGGCAAATATGAATCCAAAAGTCCAAGACAGACAAATCTGCAGGGAGACTGGAGATGTGCTCCCAGCAGACACATGTACACACCACGCACATACATGGCTGGACACACAGCTCCGAGCACTCACACTAACATAGATGGCACAATGGCCCCATCCCCCTCCCTTCTCTGGCTGAGCAGGATGAAGGTCCACTAGGGAGAATGGCACACGTATACAGGGTGGATCCTTCCAGCAATGGGGCTCAGACACTGCATCTGCCACTCATTCCCTGCCTGGACAGCAGGGCACAGACTCTCCTGGGACAGCCCTGAGAGAGCCCTGGACAAAGGAGGTCCTCTATTCCCTGGGACTCCTTAATTTGTGCTCCTGCCTGCCCTTGAGTCCCTGTGCTTCTCTAGGCTTGTGGAAATAGGCCTTTGATGGCTCCTATAACGAGCCTGGGAGTAGCCTGGCAAGGCAGGCTATTACTTGGGCTTCCCCTCCTGCCACTGTTTCTCTGAACTCCTTTGTGGGTGTGCGGACAAACTTTTATTGTATGATCTACATTGACAGGTGAACCTACTATTATTTGGTTCTTTGGTGCTGCTAAAAGCTAAATGTTTTGTAGAATGCCTGGAACACTGAAGCCAACCTAATTTGCTTTAGCGATCTAAAAGTGGTTTCACAAACTATTCAGGAACTCTGCATGGATCCAAGAAATTCTGTTCTTGTCTCCCAGACAAAATGCAAGAGATTAGTCCCTGTGATGACTTCCACTAATAATTTTAATAAACAGAAAATATTTGCAGTCTTCCAGAATTGCATACTTTTCACTCTTGGCTGCTCTTTGTGTGCTTCATTTAATGCAAACAGCGATCTTGTTTAATAACTTTAAAATTAGATGCATTAATCAAGAATGATCTGTATGAAATTCAGTCAAAATATTTATAGATGGACACTAAGAATCTATTTTAGCCTATTAACTTGTATCCATTTATTATACTTCATTGCAATTACCTCTTCCCCAATGTCAGCTATGCATGCATACATGTATAATGAACAGCAAGCACATTTATCCTGTGTTTTAATTGGATGAGAACTTCATGGGTGGCTCGTGTTTTCTGTGATTTAGTCAATCAAGTTACCAAGTTAATGGTGTTCATCAACCTGTAAAATACCTGAAGATTTACTGAAGAAAACTCCTATAAATAGTTTAAAATACTATTCTGTTGATGATTGCTTAGTCTCGGTTTAAAAAGGTACACATTCTACTAGACTACTATTTTTAAATTATGACAGCATTTGAACACCAAAAGGAAGCATGAGCCTAAAGTACCCTTGGTACTTCTGGAAACCTCTTCTATATCTTACCTTTATTTCTTTGCTTCTGCAAAAATGCTTCATAGCCTTATGCTGTTGAATATTCCTTCCTAACGTGGTACAGAATTAACATCAAATGGTAAGAAATCCCTCCCATATATGGTAGAATATTGAAAACCAAAGCTCTTCAAAACATTTTCTCTGTAGACAAAAATATCTTCCACAGGGTTTGCTGAGACAGACTGCCAAGTCTGCAGCCACAGGGAACACAGGATTAGAGGAACCCAGTCTAAGCAGTAGATTTACTTTTTCTTTTTAAAGCTGCATATACACTAGCTTTGCCACTCCAGCAGTTACTGGTATCAAACTAGAGTGCTCATTTATCTGCAGGACTCATTAATGAAACGTATGCTTTTAAAACAAACTAGTGGCAAATCAATAGTATCTGATAACCTCCAACTGCATCACACACAAATTCTTGTTATGAAGCAGTAAAATTAAAAAACCCCAAAACAAAACGGTAGCACTCATGTTCAAAGACAGCATAGTGTAAAAAGAAAAAAAAAAGAAAAAGAGAAACAACTAGACCAGAACACCATGCAAAACAGCTTCCACCTGAGTCACTCTCTTTCTTAATAAAGTGATGCTATAGATAGGTGCAAAGATAGGTGCACTTTTGTGCCTACTCGCAGGTTGTTTTTTGGTTTTTTTGTTTTTTTGTTTTTTGGGTTTTTTGGTTTTTTTTTACAGTCAGGAAACAATCTATATCAATAGAACTGATAGGAAATACCATATTTTTTTGTCAACATGTTCTTTTAGTGCAGCTGGTAACATGCACATTAATATCAAGCATACATAAAATGAAAAATATTTTCACTGTGTAAGTGCAGAGCAGACTAAAGTTCAGCTTACAGTCATGATATCCTTAAGTAACTGGAAAGGATTTCTTTCAGGTGTGTTCAGGTCTTTAAAGTCTGTTTTCAAGGCTCCTGTGTGATCAGAAGACTCACAATCCCCAACAGAAGACATTCAGACACAGATTACTTAAATCTTATGTCTATTTCTAACCACCCTGGTTAGCATGTGAAAAATAATTAAGAACAACCACAACTTTGGGGCAAAAATGCACAAATTCAACAGAGAAAAGTAATTTCTCTGGCTTATTATACTTACAAATGTCATGGTTTCAAGTAAGCCAATACATTTTAACTTTGTATTAATAGATGTGTTCAAAAAATGGGTCCTACAGAGTTCCAGTTGTCTGAGACAACAGGAAGCCATGAAGCCTGATTAATTCAGTGATCTAGATAACGGCAACCTACACCATGGAAAAGGTAATCCCTTTGATTTAGAGCATGCTGCTGAAATTCAGACTTCAAAGTAGTTCAGGTCCTCAAGTCCCACTTATCATGTCAGCTGTCGTGGTGCAGCACTATCGTCAATGATAAAACCAGTGGTCTGGAAAGGATGGATGTGTCTATCCTTGCACCACAGTTAATCTGCAAACCAGACAGTTCACCTATGGACTCTGAAGAGCTGACTGCAACTGAAAATATACACCTGACATGAGTGAGGTCAGGATTTCAGCAGTCTGCTTTCAAGAGGCCTATTCGCACTTTCAACACAAACAGTAGCACTATCTATTGACTTCAATAACTCAAGAGCAAATATTAGTATGCTGTCACAGATCATAAAGATAACTTCTTACAGAGTACTTAATTTGGTCAATAAATCTGTCACATCAACTTGAGAGAAAATACAAACCTCTGTAAGTACAAAATACTTATCCTCACCTGATATGCAAGGGTAGCTAATAACACAGGGCAGTGTTTATAGGTCCCTCAATTTAGTGACGGTACAGAATGAAAATAAGGCATTTTTAAAGCATGTGCATTTTCCTAAGAAAATGTGATGCTTTAACACCATTTTTTCATAGCTCTTATGTCCTTATACTATGTATTTTCACATAAAACATAAACACACAAAACTGATATTATTAACTTAAGCATAGAAGGCTAAACATGCATTTCTATTTCACGTATCCATATATATCCATACATAGAAAAACATGTATGTAAATTTTATATATGGAATACAAATGCACATAAGCAGGCACACTATTAAAATATCTTGCTTAATTTGAGTTCAGCAACAACTAAAATATAATTTATTCATGAAAATTTGAATAAATTTGGGATTCTGTGCTCACAAAACAACACATAAAAGAAAAATCTCACAGATGCAGCATACCTGTGTTCATTTTGACACTGGAGGATTTGCTATAAAAATCTTCAGATTTCCTGTGGGAAATAAAACGATCTATTAATTTGCACAAGACAGGAATGTGTGGTACAAAATGGCAGCAGGGCTTTTGGAGGCGTGGAGAGAGAACCACTGAGATACAAATGGCAGTCTTATTTTAACACTGCTTTAATTAAATTGGTACTGCTTGTCCTTCCAAAGTTAAAGATGAGCTGTCACTTCCATTATAAGACACTCTATTTTCAACTGTTTAGTATCTCTGTTGTAAACACTTGCTCTAGGATAAAAAACTAGTGATCAACTTTCAAGTTTGAAATTATAAAATAAAAATTATTCCCATACAGGAATGTGGAAATATTTTTAAATGCTGCTTGTAAGGTTTATTCACTCCTTTGTGCAAACAGAAAGATGTAAAGAGTAGGTCTCTAAATGTATTTTCTAAACAGCCAAAGTTACCGGGTCTTTTTCAATGGTTTATAAGCAGATGATGTTTTCATCCAGTGATTTAATGTGTCTCTAGAGACAACACTGACATTCGTAATGTTACTAGCTGTATTTCTATGCACAGAATCAGGGCATGTGTCTTGGCATCCACAGGAATCTGCATCAAAACTCCCAATGGAATCAAGAGGTAGTGAATCAAGTCACTATACATCAACAAACTTTTTAAAGGTTTGCACCAAAACAATGTAAAGTGCACACAAAGGTTCAGGTTATTTGGATATCCTAACTCTATACAGTACTTACAAGCAAACAAATAGTAAAACACCATAAACGAAACTACAACTGTAGAAAAAGCACAACATCCTACATTAAGAGCTGACTTTAACCTATGGATGTCTCAGGATAAACTAGACACTATTTTCTATCTACTACCAGTTTATGTCATAGCTTTATCTTAGGATTAGGAGCTTTAATACCTCTTCTATTCAGGCTCTTTTAGAGATAAGAAGATACAGAAAATGTTTCCAATGGCATTCTGTATACTGGCCAGTCTCAGCTGTATTTTTACATATACACTGCCCACTATAATTTACTCCAGTAAGTGAGGAGACACGCTGGAGGCCAAAATACTGAAGGCTAAAAAAAGTAATTCTTCCTCTGCACTATTCCCACATCAGGTCCAGGATAAAACAAAGGGAAAAATCAGAATTTGTAACGTAATATAGCTTCAAAAAATAAATTAAAAATATAAACTGCCTGGCTATGTTGAAGTAAGTTGGAAGGTATGCACGAGGGACTGTTTTCATAACGGAAGACTCAAGGCATTAATTAATACAAGGAAATAAAATACCAAAACAGAATTCCAGTTAAACTCTACAAGAAGTCTGAATAATTGTACCTCTGAGGTAACACATATATTGCTGTATTCTCTTGTATTTAAACAACTCAGACATTCCACTGCTTAAAAAGCATAGTGTTTTTCATAAACTGTTGGAATTCTGCTGCTATTATTCAGTCAGTTTTGGGAGGGGGAAGGGGAAGCATGTTAAACTTCTTGAGAACTATGAGATGTAAACAACTGGCAGTGAACAAAGTTTTATCACATTATTTTTATACTGCAGCTATCAGCAAACTACCTCTGAGAGTGTCCAAAAGATCTTTTAAAAATTAAGGCAAATTCTATTTTATTTATTTTTTGATAAATGGTCTTTAACTGAAATTCTAGATTTCTTTCACAGCTACGGAATATTCTTGCAGCCTCAAATTCCCGCAGTGTTTTCAGGCTTCTAGAGGAGACACCATTTTCAAGCCTTCTTTTAGCTTGAAACTGAATCACTGATGGTACCACATGCAAGCTACAAAATAAAACATGGTATTTATTTTCAGATCCGACAAGTACAGGACTCTTGGAACACTGCAAAGCCAAAATGAGTTCTAGCAGGTGGCTTCGATATATTTACCCAAAGCATGCTTAACTCTTACTCAAGTTTTATCAGACAAAACTCAGTTTTAGCACCACAGCTTCGTCCTCCTGCGAGTTTCCCTCTGTACAGCTTAGGCTGCATTGCTGACACTCAACAAGGAACTGTATATAAAAGACTAAGATTTCCACATCAATCTAATTTTGCTGAAGAACAAATTAGTCTTGTATACCTGAAAAGTATACATGTAAATAAGGCAATCCAAATTGCACTCACACAAACAGCAAGCCGTGTATTTAATACTAAAATTATTTTGAATTCCCTGCTTCTAAAGAGCTAAAGTACCATTCAAATACTCAATGATACCAGCAGTAGGAGCCAAAGGAATGCAATGAAATGAATAGCCATATGCCTGAAATTATTTTATTCAGCATTGTTTCAATCAGTCTTTAAGATCCTTACTTCAAGAAGGGGGAGCAGGGGAAGCAAAGGGCTGGTTTTGTTTTGTACTTCTGTTCCTTCTTCATCACCTTCTGAAAATTGTTCTCTGTGAATGGGTTTGCAGTACAGACACTTGACAGAGGTGAGATGAACATTCCACTGGAAGCATGAGACACTTCACTGCCAAAATGGATGCCCAATGATCAGCTAAGATACTCAGCTCTCAGACAGCTAACATTGTGACAGAAGGAATGCCCATAATGACTGTGCAGACACAAAGCACTACTGGAGAGCATGAGTTTTCAGAATCAAAGACTGCTATTCAGTCACATACATCAGGCAAATTTTCTACTCAGCTCACACCTGATCTTAGAGCTGAGATAAAAGAATACTAAGTTTAACTATAGTAGCATTCGGTTACCATTGCTGCATTTGGTTTCACTAAATACATAATATATATCCCTGCTACTTCTTGGTAACACTACAATGATTACCTCAGCTCAGCAGTACTTTGCATTACAAGAGACTACTGAAAAGACTCATGGGAATCTCACTGACACCTGGTCTATTTTCTCCGAGAGACCCTGATATCTACTTGTGATCACTGCTTCTGTTCCTGGTAAGTTCTGAAGTGTGGGGTGCCGCAGGAAAGCATTTTGCCATCCCTTCTGTTCCACATTCAGACAGAGCTATAAAAAGGGTTAGTGAGAAGTCAAGGAAGGTTTCCCCACCCTCAGTTTATTCATGAATCAAGACGCATGTCTTTATTGTTAGGGGTTTAATTCCATTCTTGACCAGACGTTAGAGCACCTACAGCCACTAGTGCAGGATCTCTGGCATCCAATAAACCAGCAACTAAGTAAATGTGAGAAAGTGCTTTGTGAATCAAAGCCTAAATGAGGAGTAACATGCAAGTATTACCTCCTTGCACCTCATTCAAATAATTGTTGATAACCACAGTCCAGAGCTACCTAAGGATAGAGGACCATCAGAAGTTAGAATATTCTTTCCATGTAAAATTTTGGAAAGAACTGGGAAGTAAAGGAAAGGAGGTTGTTTTGTGGGTTTTTTGTTTGGTTGGTTTGTGTGTGTGTGTGTGTTTTTAATAACATGTAGAAACTCCAAAAATTATCCTTACAGCTTTGTTATTTACTCAGTGTATTACAAAATCCTAAATGCCACATCACAAAGGCATCTAAGCTCATGGATAACTTTCGGGATCTTTTTCCCTCCTGCTCTGTAGCCATGGAGTCTAGACTCCTTTGAAATCCCAGGCTTGCTAACTGTGTAGCTACAGTGGGCACAGTCTAGAATGCTAGTTGCCTCCTTGCTTTTACAGGTTTTGAAAGGTTCCTGAAGATCAAGGTGATAAGTTACCTTGTTTGGTTTGTTTTGAATCAGAGCATAAAAGACAGGGTGACAAAGGACTGAAGCTTCTCTCTTACACAGAAAGGCTGAGGGAGCTGGGCCTGTTCAGCCTTAAGAAGAGATGACTGAGACAGGACCTCATCAATGTCTATAAGTATCTGAAGGGAGGGTGTCAAGAGAATGAATGCAGGCTCTTCTTGGTGGTGCCAAGCAATAGGACAAGAGGTAATGGGCAGAAACTGATGCACAGGAAGTTCCACTGAATATGAGGAAGAACTTTACCATGCAGGTGACTGTGCACTGGAAGAGATTGTCCAGAGAGGTTGTGAAGTCTCCCTCGCTGGAGATGTTCAAGAATGATCTGGACACAATCCTGTGCCACGTGCTCTAGGATGACTTTGCTTGAGCAGGGAGGTTGGACCAGATGACGCCCCGTGGTCCCTTTCAACCTTACCCATTCTGTGATTCTAAGTTACCTGTTCTTTACTCCTTGCCATTTCACATAAGATATTATAAAAAGCAGGTTTAAGATGTATTTTTTGATACAGGATTTATATTAATTCTAAAGTTAATCCTAGTATGTGCTCTTTATAGCTACCGTCCTTTGTAATAAATTCTATTCCAAGGATCTTTGGTGAGAGGAGCAATTGGCTTACAACACAGAGTGCAGATGGATCAACAGCAGGATAGATGTGTGTGTCTGGCTGGAAAAGGATAGATTTTCATTGTCTTAGCTAGAGAGCAATGCCCAGATATTTGGAGAGGGCAGGAGCTTTCCAGACTTGTCTGAGAAGGAGTGTTCAGACTTTGATTAATGTTGTTTGCCAGTTTCACAGGTTGGCCTAGAGAAAATATCTGGCAGGTTTCCTTAAGAAAATATCTGCAAAGTTAAGAAGTGAAGTCAGTGAGTGATTGATTATTCAGTTTAAACATTGCAGGGGATCTACAAACACATATTTATTTCCAGGCAGGATTCTATACCCAAATATGCACGTAGCAATAAATTTTACCCCACATCATTAAGACTCTGCACAGCACTACTGCTCTTACGTCTGCAACAGATCAGTATACTTCATATGCCAACTCATACATTCAATGAAGCAGGTAAAAAAAAAATTATGAAGTATTAGTTCTGAAAGGACAATGAAGCTGATTATTTTATTTCTCTCAATTTTTAAAAGAAATTCTTTCAGATGTTTACTGTTAGCAGAATGACATGGCAATGAGAATGCAATGAGAACTTGATAAACACCACAATGTTTAGGCTGTGGTGACAAGGACTCACACAAAAAATAACTGTCTTGAAGCTGCCTCGGGAGCAGATGTCTCTCCTGCCAGCCTCTAAGTAGAAGGAAGGCTTATAT